TTTTTATTATTAGTTGAATTAAAATATCTTTTTATCATTTAATCAAGTCATGTATCCACTAATTTATTATTGGTTGAAATTATACACAAGAAATAATTAATTGTAAAATTAAGATCTAAATCAATAAAAAATAAAAATTAATTCTACAAATCTTTTTTTTTTAATAATGGCAACTCTTATCAAAAAAATTAAAAAAAACAAAGATATTGCACTTAAAGAATATGAAGAGGCAAAAGAAGAGTTGAAGCAGGAAAAAGAAAGGGGGAAGGGTAGAAAGGGGCTAGAAGAGTTGAGAGGAAAGGTGAGAAGGAAAGAGCTTAATAAAAAAAATAAGAAGAAGAAGATAAGATTGGAGAAAAAAGAAGAAGAATTAATAAAGAAGATGTACTATTAAAAAGAGCGAATAGGAAGATTTCAGAATGCATTATTAGCTAATTATAATGAAGAAGAAGGTAATAAACAAATTGCATAAAAAAAAAATTATTTTTTATTCATTCTATTTTGTTTATTTACTTGTAAAAGCATTTATTTATCTTTTATTCACTTTATTACTTATTAATATATTTTTAAGAAAAAGAAAAAATGAAAATTGATAAAGAAATAGATATTAGAGGTAATGCTTAAGTTTCTATATAACAATCCAATCATGTAGTTCATAATTTTTTTTCGTTAATTTTTTGTTATATCTTCTATTTTCATTTGTTCTCTCATAAAGAACATTAGCAGAAGAAAATTCGCCTTTAGGAAAATGATTCTAGAAGAATGTCTATTATTCAAAATTTACCATGTAATTATTTTTTTTAGTTATTTGTGATGTCTCTTTTTTTTTAGTCAATAATGATAATTTTTATTTTTTATTACAGATTCTAGTAGTATTCTAACATCAGATTCTGAATTTATAGAAACACGTAAAATGCAATTATTATATGTAGATAAAACAATTTGGTTGACCAAATTGTAACTGGATAGCAGTGTATACTTTGTATCATGACCTCAAAAATTTAGAAAGTCTATATTTCTCTTCATGATTAAATTTTTTTTCTTGAACCAACATCATCTTTTTGAAGGTTTATACATATACAATAATCTATCACAAATGATTTTTAGGGATAAAGTATAACTGTGGAATAAAGACTTACCTCCAATTCTAGTCATCAGGCTTGATTTTTCTAAACTGATATCAAATAAAGAACCAAAAATATTAGAGAAGGGTTTGATTCGTCAATTAAAGTTAATTAGAAAAAGGTATAATATTACTATCACATATCTTGATAGTATCAAAGATGTTTTATATCAAATAATAATCCTTCTGGTTAGTCACAAAAGTAATGAATAGAAAAAAGTGGTAATCCTAATTGATGAATATGATTCACTATTGTTAAGTATTCTTGATATCATAAAAGAAAGCTTGGAAATTACAGATAAAAATTGTGATATATTAAAGGATTTCTTTGAAGTCATAAAAGCATTACAAGCATACATTAAATTTTCATTTACCACTAGTGTCACAATATTTTCATATATCAGTTTATTTTCAGGAGCAAATATTCTTGAAGATTTGACAATATCTCCTATGTTATCTGAAGCATATGGTTTTATAAGTGATGAGATAAATAAATTTGAAAACTTATTAAATAAATTTGATAATTCATAAGAAATGTTGACTAGTCTTCAAGAAAAATACAATAGTTATTCTTGAGATGTCAAGATTAAGGTGTATAATCCATATAGTATATGTATGTTTTTTAAGTGTTCAGAACTTGATAATTTTTGGATTCAAAAGAAAAAAACCAGCTTTTTAGCTAAGTTGATTAGTATGAAGCATGTTAAAGATATTGCAGATAAAATTAAAATTAACAAAAGCTCAATTATACCTGTTGATATTGCAGATATATAAAAATCATCTAAATTCCCAGTATCATTATTTTTTCTAACTGGTTATTTGACTATCAAAAAATAAGAAAAAACAAATTTAGTTCTTGATATTTCAAACACAGAAGTATGTGAATCTTTAATAGGTGAACTTTAAGTTAGTTTTTATAAAATTTTATTAGAAGATGCATTTATTCGAATTAAAATACTGACAGATCTTCTTAAATAAGATAAATTTAAAGAATTTTTGATAGAATTTAATAAGGATTTGGGTACTATTCCATATAATGCAGTGGATTGTCCTAAGACATATTAATATATTAATATATTAATATGTCTTAGGACAATCCACTTGCACTAGATTAATA